GGATCAATGCTATTTTGTATAGGCTATCTACATACTGTACTATACGAGCCAATCAGAATCATTACTGTCTTGTTCTTTGATAGATTATTCATCAACACTATGAGTTTGTGCTGAAAAGGAAAAGCAGTCTCAACTCTGGATTAAGGTGTCAGAGCTTGAAATATTTTGCCACCCTTGTAGCGAGGCAGAGGGTGGAATACGTCTGAGTTCATCCTGATTTCCACAGGCTAAACTACTTAAACTCATCTCACTCCAACCAGGAGGAAACGGCTTCAATAAAGTGAGGTCATTGAAGAGTTTGGTACAGTCAGCTTACTGAAAGCTGCCTCAAGTGTAAAATTATTTTCATGGAACAAACAAATGCACGTCAAAGGTTTTACAGAGCCCAAGAGACCATCTTCACTCTTTGCTTGGTAACTAATGTCTTCATATGTTAGAAAATTGAATCAATAGGATTGAATGAATATTATTATTGTTGCTGGTACATCAGTGGGAGGTATTTCTGCCTCACTGGATAGTGTATAATCCAGAAATAACAGGAAAAGATGAAGGGTGACTTGTCACAGAAATCATCATCCAGGCTCAAATCAGGAAAGGTGTGATAAGAGTACAAACATCAGTCTATTAAGAAGACTTTTTTTTAGCCTTTTGTCCAAGTGTGCAATAGAGAGAAACAGGAAGCATGGGAAGACAGTCGGATGATATGCACCAAGGCTCTCTAACTGTCAGTGTACCCAATTAATGCTTCGTTTGAGGTGTCTGTCAGAGTCTTAATAAACTGTGGATGTACTCATCAAAGTGGGCTACAGGCGGGCCCACTCTCTGAATGATTCAAATTTATCTTCAGTATATTTTGCTAGCTGTAAATATATTTTGTGCGAATAATGGAGATTTGAATTTCTGAGTAGAATAGAATGGAAACACCTGTGTGGCAATCATAGCCTGTACAGGTTAGGGTGATAAATGTTACTGAAGCCTGTCTTGTTTAATAGTTAAAGAAAGATCAACACTATGTGACTATGTAAGTCCAGAGGTCGCTACGCTCTCCTGCCAAGTTGTGAACGCGTATGGAGTGGCTGAGAAATGAAAACCCTAAAAAGGTAAAGATGTTGGTGAAAGGAAAGAATACATAATGTAAGTTTAATGCAAATAATTGAATACTTTTCATTAGGAAAGTGTAAATCCATTATTTTTCAATGTTGATACTTGTGCTGTTGTTTCAGCTGCGACCCTTTGTCAGCTCAGTATGTTGTAAACATAAAACCTAATTGAATTGAATGGATAATCTCCATAAGCCATAGTCCACCTGTTGTCACCAAAATCGTACACACAAAATCATAATTCATGAAGGTGCACCCAGTTGAATTTGAGTTTTTAAAAGATAATGTTGTTTTTTTTCTTTATATAGCACAGGTACAGATCAGGTCTCTGGCCCAGATTCCGTGTTGTTGATAGCCAGGTAACATAAAAAACTCACCTGATATTGTTTTTGAGCAGATGCTGCATCAGGATGCTTTGACACAGTGTTTGTGCAACGCTGCCGCGGAAGGCCATTAAAATATAGTTTACAGTTTAAACAGTGTAAATATTGCCAGGCATTTGAAAATGCGTCCCGTGGGTTTTGTTGAACTTTTCTGCCGGCTTCTATGAAAGAGACACATTCTTCTTTCTGCTGCATGTCAGACATTAAAGAGTTTGTGTTGCCACCAGGTGCTTCTTTCATGCACTCCTTATTTTGTAGACTTTTCTATGCTTCTGCCTGGAAATGAATAATTCAACTCAACTCCACGTTGCTATTATATCAGCTAATTAGTACAGTACTAATATCTGCTGTGGATTGTTATGTCTTCTTGAACTTGTTTCTTTTCATAAGTTTACACACTTGTCGCCCCTGTACACGCATGTTCTTTGCGAATTAGCAGTTAACGTTTACCTTCACAAATGTCAACCCGTTCCTGGAGATCTGATTTGTCGTAAATCACGTTATTGTGATAAAACGAGATGGGGGCAGGATTTTCTGACTGTCTTCCACTTCAGAGGTAGAAATGGGGAGGTGGATATAAACACTACTGTACGTGCCACTACAAACACACAGAAAAAAGGCACTGCTGGATTCTTTTGTATTTCCCCAGGCCAGTTGATTTTAATAAAGTCCAACTGCATATTAAATCTACCTTCATTTTTGCTCGTGGCAACCGCGCTCAGTCTACACGCTTTCAGTCTGCATTCATTTTCAATCAGCAAATTAGGGAATGTGTGAGGAGATAACTGGCCATTAATAGTCCATAAAAATAATGTGACTGAGTGATTGATTGTGAGCAGAAACCATTTTTGGTGCATGTTCTTTGTTTTTCTCCCTTCGTGTTTTTTTTCTTCTTTCTTCTTTTTATCTCCTTCTGTCTCACTCTTGTATCTTCTAACTCACTCTCCAATCTCACTCTCCTGCATCTTCTTATTCTCTCTCTCTCTCTCTGTCTCTGTGCTCCTGGAGCGGGGGATGCCAGGGGGACAGAGTGCAGATAGGACCGGTCTCCATAGCAACAGCTTCTGCAAGCTGCTGACACCCTACTGGGGGGACTGAGGGGAGGAGAGGTTGTGGATGGGGAGGGATAGTACAAGGGTTGGGGCACAGGGATATGTGTGTGCCGTGTGTGTGTTTGTGCATGTGTGTGCACCAGTGCCAAGACAAATGAGTGTGGGGGTCACGAATAGGAGAAAAGATGGAGAGAAAAGTGTTCAGAAGAAAAAGAGGAAGGATGGAGAAGGAGAGAAAGAGGCAGCCTACCCTGCTTCTTCCCCAGGGACTCGGTGGCCTGCTCATGTTCACTAGCAGAATTAGCATAAAGATGGGGGGAGGTGTGTGTGCGTGCGTTTGTGATTTTTCAGTTTGTGTGCTTTGGTTTCAGATGGGAGAAGGAGGACGGCGAGCGTGTTTGTGTACATCTGTGTAACTGGTGGTATGTGTTGTCCATGCATGCAGCGTGTGTCATATGGATATAGTGTGTTTGTCAGTTGTGCGTGCTGGAGGATCTGTAGATGTGCAAAAGTGTGTGTCTGTGTATTTGTTAGAGCAACTCCCTCCCCTGGGTCTTAAACCCCCTCTCTGTTCTGTCCTGTAGCCTGCGGTTCTCCCCTGTCTGCTTTTCTGTACTGAAGGGCTGCACTTTATGAGGCTGTGATGCAAGCCTTTGTGTGTCTGTGCGATTGCGCGTTCATGTGGTTGCGTGCACATGTGTTTGTTCCGGCTTGCTTATGTAAGCACTCTGAACATGCGTCTCCTTCTATGTGTGTTGACAAGAATACAGTTATATCATATTTAACTCCCGGGCTGAATCATTCTGCCCCCCTTTTCCTATTCTAGATTCTAATTTTATTCTCCCATATTGTTTGACTGACGTAAAGGGGATTGGAGACAGTACTGGTGTTACATCTGATTTGTTTTAGTTAAGTGGTTGCTTACATTAAATTTAGTGGTATGCTTGCAGTGTTTGTCCTTAAGATAACAATAACATAATTACTCACTGATTTTATAAATTTCAACTAAGCGAGAAATGTAGCATTTGTAATTAAAAATCCTTACAGTTGTAGAGTAAATGGAGTACTATTAAAGACACTGTGTTTGTTCTATAGGGAATGTTAGCCCAAAAATCTAATGGACAATTGCTTTGGAGTTAAATGTTATTCAGAAAAACTGGAAAAAAAAAAAGATTCAGGGGCTGTACAGTGGCCTTCTCACAAACAACAGCTTTAAGAGTGTTTAAGTGTCTCAAATATCTTGATTGCTTCATTTTCTAAAAATTAGCAAGAACTCTGTTAGATGTAGTACAAAATCAACCTATTTGCAGAAGACTTGTTACTATATTTAACCTCTGTCAGTACTCATTAGGTACTTATAAAAGCTTGTAATGAAGATAAGTTTTGAGTAATTTAATTGTTTACAGTAAATTAATGTAAGTTGGTTTAGTGCTGAACTGTATTTCATAACCATTTTTTTTTTTTATATATATGTAGCTCATGAAACACGAGATGACACTTGTCTCTGTTGTGATCTGACCAGGAAGTAATCACTATACTTCAAATCAATCAAAATGTCTCTTAAGACATGAAATATGAAGATTTTTCCTGAATTCATTAAAATTAGTTGAATTTTGAAATAAATTAAATGTAACAAATTGTGTATTTTGTGTCAGATTTTTAAACTGCATCCAAATATGCCATTACTGACACTTGGCTTTTTTGTAATGAGAAAGGACCTGTGGAATAGTCGTTGAGAACTTCAAAAAACAAATTGGCAAAATTTTTCAACTTCACTAGCTGACCTATGGAGCATCTGTTAGGATGTTGAAGTGCAGTTTCAGGGTGATTAGTTCCATATGAGTACATTCAAGCTACAAACTCCTACGTATGCGGTGTTCCTAGATCACTCAGCAAATCAGCTGCACGTTATTATAGAGTCAGTGTTGTTTTCATTTATCTCCAAGAAATGAAAATTAAGGAGTTTGCTAATATTAGCCGTTATATTTCTGTTGTTTGTGACAGAGACAAAAAAGCTTTTTAATGAAAGAAGCATAAAAGTATGTACTCATTATCACCGATGCAGATAAATAACTGCTGTGTTGTTCAGGACATTATTCCTGGGTGTATGATAGAATAGATCAGAGTACAGGCACAGGTCTCTTTACAGCTTCGTGTCACTGACATTTTACGATTGTTCCTCTTCTGAAGTGTTTGAATATTTTTGCAATGTTTCTCCCCGAAGTCTTTCTTTTCATTGCTGGCCTTGCCTAAAGAAAGAGATGGGGGGGTTAATGCATCTCTCTTCTATCTAACATTTAAACTTTAAATGGAGTTGGGGGGTGGCAAATGCAGGTGCAGCCACTGCTCCCTGTTGTCGTTTGTTGGCCAATGCAGCATCATGCACATATACATTAGGGTAGAGCAGTGAAGGATGCATGTACACGTTGAACACCATATTGAATTCATCTGTTTGTGTTTTCCAGAGCGCAGCGGCAGCGCCAAGCCCAGTGATGGGCAACATGCCACCCAATGATGCCATGCCAGGTGGTCCCATGCCCCCAGGCTTCTTCCAGGTATGACCGCACTCTTGTGTCATCACCAAACCCACTTCTCATTTTACCCCATCTGCCATTCATTCATTTCTGACTTCCCCAAAACAAATAATCTATATTTAGTCTACTCTTTGACTTCCTTGTCCAGCAATAGAGAATGGTTAACCGATGTTCACTTATTTCTGTAGAGCAATAAACTAGCAATTTCTTATTTTATTGTTAGCACATTTTATAGTAGCTGCACTAAACGTGGACATTTCCCAGTTGAGAAATTATTCAGGTTTCTTTTTAAATTTTCATTCATGTTATTATTCTGACAGTAATTACAGTCTTCTCTGTACAGAAGCTGACTTTTATTTTATGAAAACTTTTTTTAAGTAGCAAATTAAAGCAGCCTTGTTTGCACCTTAATTACTGAGCAATATTTGATTAGCCCAGTTGGTGGTTTATTTACACAAGAAGACAGGAACAATTTCTTAACCTAAAGTTTATCTAAAGAAAAAGGCATGGCTTTGCTGCTAATTGAAAATATCTGTTATATTTATAAACAGTAAAAGGAGGGTTTTTCTCAGTTATTAGACTTATTAAGATACTGATCAGATACTCGTTTTTTTAAGCCTTTAATTTGACTTCCGATATCAGTCAGGTTCTACTAATTAAGACTTTCACAGTAAAATCTATATGGAGTTTAATCAGATGACAGCATAGTTGCAGTTTGGGTTGCAGTTTTTTTTTTTCCCTCCACATTTTTCCAAATACTGTTTATTCCACTCTAGATATTTACACCCACCAGAGCCTCTGAAGCTCATACTGTTCATTCATCTGTGGCTCTGCGCTCGCTGGGCTGCTGTTCAGCCGATTTGTGATTCAGCCATCCCGTATTCATCCTCTCTCCACTCCTCCATCTCCATCTCGTCTGTCTCTGACCTGTCCCGGGTCTGTGAAGGGAAAGGTTTTAGTGTGGGAGATGGCTGTCTGAAGAGTGACGAGAACGAGACATGCAAACGCGCACACAGTATACAAACACGTGCAAGCATGCAAGCACACATTCACAAACAAAAACACTGTGAGGCAGTGGTGTGATGGACAGCACTGGCATTTGGCAGGAGGCACGATAAGGTGATGGCGAAGAGTAGGAGCGAAAAAGCGAGTGACACATTAAGGGAGAGGGAAGGATGGAGAGGAAGAGGGGTGAGTGGAGGAGTAAGAAGAGAGGGAAATGTGAAAGATCAGTGCCACCAGGATTGTGGCCCACTGTTTGTTTCTGTGGCTACGTCCCACCCTATTGTTTGCTGGCTGAGAGTGAGGGTGGTGGTGCTGATGGTGGTGGGGGGGCTAGTGAGAGTATGACTGTGAATAAGCAAGGGAAAGGGTAGGGGGGAGAGGGGGTGACGAGACATGCATGGAAGTGCTATTTATAACATTGGTGGAGGAGTAAGATTGGACGATGGCTTGTGTGTCTGTGTTTGTGTGCACATTGTGTTCAAGCGACCTTACTGTAACAGAAAGCTTCGGTTGTTCACTGCAAATGTGGCTCACGCAGGCAGAGCGTTGTTTGAAATCCTGTTAAGAACGTCAGGCCTGACACCTAAACAATACATCTTCTGATATTTGACTTTTAAGAAATGTAAAGCAGTCACAAATTTAAATGCTCTTAACATACAACACAAGCAGCTATGCAGAAATCTGTCAAGGACATACGAGATCCAAGCAGCGGCTGCTGATGACTTTCATAACCAGTCTATATGTTTTTCTTGTTTTTGAGTTGTTATTTTGTCTACAGCATGTCAGATAAGACATGACAGCTTCAAGATATGACTTACAATTTACGAGCAAGAGTTCAAAATAAAAACAAACAGTTCAATTTTCCATCATTCTGCAAAAAGACAGCAAATCTTCGCAGCTGAGATGTTTGACATTTTTGTGTTTAAAAATAATTTGCTAATAGATTATCATAGTTGTTGGTTGTTCAAATTTTCTTCTGAGATGCTGACCTCATATAAATTGGGTCAAGTGGTTTCTTTTCTTTTTTTTATTACAAAGTTTCAAGTATTTTTTCTTTCCATGAATTGCATTCATTAAGAGCTTTTTATCAAGGCAGCCCTTCTGACAGATCTGCTGCCCCAGACAGATATTGGTCCGTACAATAAAGTAGACCCCATCTAATCTTGTTGTTGTTTGTTGTTAATTAGTACACCTATTTCTTACTCAAGCAAGCAGTTGGTCTGTTGTCTGTCCAGCAAACACAAGCAGTTGTATGGAATTGATGTGTCTCTATGCATTTGAAGAAGAAAAAAAAAGAAGTGACTTTTGGTAGTCAGCTGTACAAAGCGATTGGTTCAGATTCTGTTGGTCAGCTGATTTCTTCATTTCATCTGAAAAATTATAATATTGAACTGACTGTTTAGCACTTATGAACATTTTTAAAATTTAACCCTTACATTTTAAAGCATTAGAAGTAGTTGGGACGTAAACTGCCAAGCAGGTGCGGCCAGCCCCCCCGCTTGATTAAGTAAGGTCTGAAGTTGAATGTGCATTTGGTAGCTGCTCACCGGGACTTTCAGCATGAGGTCCAAAGAGATTTTGATGCAAGTGAAGAAGGCTGTCATTCAGCTGAAAAAACATAACAAAGATGGTGGAAACTTTAGGAGTGGTCTAATCAACAATATGGTGCTTTCTTAAAAAGAAGGAATGCGCTGGAGAGCTTAGCAACATCAAAAGGCCTGTAAGCCCACACCACATCTAACTTCTGCTAAAATGATGGGAAGCATATGGAGAAGAAAAGGAAACGCTTACGATCTTAAGCATGCCACATCATCCGTCAAACATGGTCGAGGCAATGGTATGGACATATATGGCTGCCAGTGGAACGAGGTCACTTGTGTTTATTGCTGATGCGATTGCTGATAGCAGTAGCAGGATGAGTTGTGAAGTGTACATGGCTATAGCCCCTGCACCGAGGCAGCCTGCTGCTAAACTGGCCAGATGGCTCTTCACAGTCGGACTCTAAAATGACCCAAAATGTACAATGGAAGTAACACAAGAGCTTCCTAATCAAAGAAATGTAATGTTGCTAAATGGTTGGGTCAGTCACCGGACATCAACCCAACCCAGCATGTTTCTCATTTAGTGACGACAACTGAAGGCAGACTGACCCACAAACAAGCAGCGACTTAATGAGGCTGCAGTAAAAGGCTGGCAAAGCATTTCATGGGAGGAAACCTAACCTTTGGTCATGTCAATGCATTTGAGACTTTAGGCAGTCACTGACTGCAAGAGTTTGGTATATCAGGTATTTAAAATCATGCCGTTTGGTATGATTTTTTTTGAGAGTTTGTGTAGTTACTTTTGAGCCGATAATACTGTTTTTTTGTTGTTTTTTTTTAAACAATTGCAACAATTTATTTTGACTGTAGTATTTTTGCTGAACTCCCTAGGATTATGCCAAAAGTCTACACTGAATTGCTTTGTTTTAGATCCATTATTGGGTGTGTGCAGAGATAAATTCACAAAAAATGTTGTCACTGTCCAAATACTTATGGCCCTGACTGGAAACTACCAGACTCACTGAGGTAATCGGTGTGCTGTCTTTGTGTGTGTCCGGATGCCTAGGAGGGATACATGGAAAATTCCATTTACCATTAAATCAGCCAGCTTTTGTTTTCTTCGGACAACTGGAAAAGGAAAAAACCAAAGCACTGAAGGCACTAACAGTGATGGAGCAGAAACAAGACTGTTGCATAATGACTTCTTTATTAGAGGCCGTTAACCTCATGTCTCTGGGTGAGAAGTGGGCAATAACGATGCAGTGTTTTAGAGGAGCAGAGGGGTCCCTCACAGGATCACGCTTTTCACTTTGAAGTAGGCTCACGATAAGCAGGGAAAAACTTCCAACCTGTTCTTGTTTTTGCCAGTATCATCTTTCTGGTTTGAAGTTACCTCTTGTGCCTGTCCTGCTGCTGCCTGTCCTGTTGCAGTGAGCCTTGGGCAACACTGCCCCCATGTGGATTTAGGGAATACATTTAATCCTCCAACAAGAAGGACCAAAGTATCAGAGAGATGGTTATGCTTTAAGATTTCTGTCAGCTTGTTTGAACTCAAACTCACATTGAAACTATTCCTATATGACTTTTCATTTTATGGGTTTTAAAGGAGTAACTCTTAACTCCACGTCAAGATGCAGCTTTTCTCACTTTTCTGCTTCCTTCTACCTCAAATTAAAGACTCCCCACTGACTCCCCACTTCCCAACCCTCCCCATCATCTTCCTCTCATAACTTTGATTGGGTAATTCCTCCAGGTGTAAACCCACATTTTGCCCCTCCCCTTTCTGATATCGCTCTTCTTTCTTAAAGGGACCACCCGGCTCTCAGCAGTCCCCCCATGCACAGCCCCCCCCACACAACCCCAGCAACCCCATGATGGGACCCCATGGCCAGGTAAGAAGCAAATGCTTTCTCTCAAACACCCCTCTTTTTTTCCATTCCCTCTAAATCTCCCCTCTACCCCTCACCCACACACTACCTCTTTCTTCCCATTCACTGCTCACACACACCTTCTTCTTCTTCTTCTCCCACCCTTGAGCCCTGTGAGCTCCAGTTTTGTTCAGGGTAACTCCCCATAGATGTCGGCCCCCTTTTTATGAAAGCCGAGCTTCCAGAGGCAGCAACGCAAGCTCCTCTTCAAGGCCCAGAATCAGCTGTCCCCGTGTGGGATGAATAATTCACTCCTTGCCCCTCCCCTGGAGCAGCTTGTGGGGGGTTGCACACTTATCTTCTCCGTCACTCTTAGCACACACACATGCTCATACCTCTCCCCTCCCCCCTGCTTACTTGTTTTAACACCTTATAAATAAAACAGGGGACAGTCATTATAAACACGTCACATATACGTACAAAACACATGGGTTTGCTGATGCACGTAGAACAACCAGAGGCTTGGGTTGCTACAGCCTGCCAGTTGACAAACACGTATCCAGTCTTTAAAAACTTCAATCCTCAGTCATTCAGCAGTTATCCAGAACAGTAGCTACAGATGCCACTCTGGAGGTAAAGCTAGCCTTTACCCATTAACTGCGGCAGCTCAGCTCTTCATTCTTGTGGTTTCTGGTTTCCGTCTTATGTGCGAGAGAGTGTGGACACGCTTCCGCTAAGGTTTTGAACGGTGTTGTTGGCCTGAGGTGTCTCTAACTACGCCAGGCAGACCACAGGCCGAATCAGCTTACACCACAGTGAGAGCACGCGTGCTGTGCAGGGAGCTGTGTGAGCGCTGCCGTTAAGCACACACAAATGTGCATGTTGTTAGTATAAGCGGGAGATTTGAAAAATCTAAAAAATAGGCTCTTATGCCAGTGTATTTTGTTGGTTTCCAAGTTATTATGTTGATGAATCTGCACTTTTTTTCACTGTCATCTCTCATTCTCCAACACCACTGCGTTCATCTGTGTCCTCACCATCACCCCTGTTTGAGTGCGTTTGAATTTATCAATAATAGAAACTGTGTTTTCTCTGTGTCCTCCTTTGCCCTATAATTCCCACCCTCCTTTCCCTCTGTTTTTCTTTCTTCCCCTGTTTCTTACTGCAGCCTTTCATGTCACCGCGGTATCCAGGTGGACCGCGCCCCTCACTCCGAATGCCAAATCAGGTACTGAGCAGCATTTTGAATTGTGTTTATCTATTTTTTTTAACACCACTGAGAATCTGTGATGCCAACATATGCCAGTGTGTTGATCAGTTTGCTCTTTTCTCAGCCTCCTGGTGGTATCCCAGGATCTCAGCCTCTCCTGCCAAACAGTTTGGACCCAACAAGACCGCAAGGTAAGGCCGGTCGTAGTTACAGGTCAGAGCAGATGATAGGTCTGTAACCGAAGTTTTAGTTTGGATTTTCTTGAATCTACTTTAAAAGTGGTGATATTTTAAAATACCTTAAAAGATTTGGTCTGTAATCAAGAAGTTAAAAAAAACCTCTGTATTGTCTTCATACTAGGGCTTTGGGGGATTTTGTATAAATTCAGATTGTGTGGCTATTTCTTCCTGAATAGATTGAATATGTGGGGGTGTGTCTGGCTCAGGAAGGGGTCTGTGCTGATTTTAACTGCAGATTATAGCTTCAGAGGTCCAGTGTTGCTACCAGAGGGCTTAGAAGGAACCATTCTAAGTGGCTGTGGCATTTCTTAATTCCTGTGTTGCTTTCAGTGTGTGACTCTGGGGGTCTTTTCTTGCAGGTCATCCTAACATGGGTGGACCAATGAGAATGAACCCTCCCAGAGGAATGGCCATGGGCCCACAGGTATGACAAATCGGCTGCACAGAGGGCACGAAACTCTGATGGGAGTTAGTTTCTACATCTAGTAATTGTAATAGTGAATGAGACAGCTGTGCACTTAGGCTTGCTTTTAATGGTTATATAACTGTATGGAAGAGGCTCTTACAGGGTGAAATGTAACTTTTCTTGAATTTGTTGCTATAATTGTCATTACTCACTTATGGTAAAGACTTTTGTCTTTTGTTATCTGCCTTTGACAGTCCAGTCATGTTTTGTGTATGATGTGTGAATATAAAACAAAACACTGAAACCTGTGCACTCAACAAAATCATATCTTTTTAAAGTTCTTGTAACTTTGCTTCGAAGCTCTAACTGTGTGTTGGATTTTTTTTAAACATCTTGTCTCTTAGAATTATGGAGGTATGAGGCCTCCTCCCAACTCAATGGGTGGTCCAATGCCAGGAATGAACATGTAAGTCCCATTTGCTTCATCTTCAACATACTGCTGTTCATTCGCAAGTAGTTTTAGTAGCAAGCAGAATCCAAAAAAAGGACCTCAGTAGTTAAATGTTCTTCATTAATTCTGAGAAGCTGTTGGAAAAAGGTGTCCAGAGTTTATCCTTGGATGTAGTAAACTTAAATAACTCTCATATTTCCTTTATATTCCCAGTTCCCTTTATTGTTGGTTTGCTTTCTAAACTTTTCTTTTTTTTTTCCCCTCAGGGGTCCCGGAGGAAGAGGGCCTTGGCCAGGTCCTAATGCTAACTCTGTGAGTTTGAAGCCCTCTGCACATACACAATAGGTGGCAGGCAGACTTATAGCAACAAGAAGAGCAATAACTTGGCAATATTCAAACTCAATGCATTGTATAATAACTTGATAATGAACTCGTCTAGTTTTCCTAAACAGATTTAAAGTGTTTAACATGTTTAAACAATGTTGGAGATCATTTTGAACACTGCTAATGTGTTGCATCAGTCAGTGCCGGCAGGTTTGTCCCCTAAAACCAGGTTCATCAAGTACATTTGGAGATGACTAAAGTTTAAGCAACACCCATTAAACCTCTGAGAAGAATGTGCTTTCTCATTGCTGTTCTGTGATGCTAAACCAAAGTCATGCATCTCCTTTGTTAAATACCCAAAGATAATAAACGGGTAGCTCTTGCACAAAAATCGAGGAAATTTTTGACAAAGCATTTTCACCAGCTGAAGAAAATCTCCCTGACAGACTCGCCGTTTGCTGCAGGATTGTTGCATTAGTTTTAATTTTCTTGTCTAGATGAACATCTCTATCTTTCAACCTTCAGATCTGACTCTTTATTTCTTCCTCCCGCTTGCAGATAGCCTACTCCTCCTCATCTCCAGGAAACTATGTGGTGAGTTGTTATATAAAAGCATGTCCGCTGACTAGGATGCAGTGTAGGCTTTTTTTGTATTAAAGAATCCTTCATTTATGCTCCGATGAGTATAATTTTACAGCTTTCTTTTTTCCTTCCTCAGGGTCCACCAGGCGGAGGAGGTCCACCTGGAACTCCCATCATGCCAAGCCCAGGTGGTGCGTCACCTAACTATGTCCCCAGCACTAACACTTGTGCGTTAGAAATAGAAGTGTCTCCCATTTTCCCCTTCACCTAAAAAAAAAAAAAAAAAAAGCATGAGTATGTCCACTCACCGAGTGCTGTCAGTCTGAGTCCTCTCATTATTTCATGTCTGCTTTCCTGTTTTCATATTTGATTCAGAGGTTTTATATCAACCTCCTGATATCCCAAAACTGAACGTTTTGTTCTCTTTTTTCTTAGATTCAACTAATTCCAGTGAAAACATCTATACGATGATGAATCCAATTGGACCTGGAGGCAACAGACCCAATGTGAGTCTTCCATAACTTTCCTTTTTTAACAGTAATACTATACTGTTCTCTTAGAAGTTTAACTTTGCAGCCTCGCTTAATTTTTCAGATATTGGACATTGATTCTTGGCTAAAATAATGGATGCTATTGTAATGATTAAAATTACACAGTCTTGACCTCAAAATTTAATCCAGTTCTAATAGGGCTTATAACCACATCACTGGGCACCAGTACAATCCAGCATTAGAGAAACCAAATGCTGCCACAGTGAGCTCAATAAGAATTGACTGGGAATGAAGTAGGGAGAATAAATTAAACAATCACAACTTCACCTCGGGCTGAAAACATCACAGTTATATCAGAGAGGGCACGGATGGAGAATCGTGTTAGCGGTTACTCATTAGATTTGTTCCACACCTTTTCACCAGTTCCCTATGGGACCTGGGCCTGATGGGCCAATGGGAGCTATGGGAGCCATGGAGCCACACCACATGAATGGATCACTAGGTGGGTTTGAACACTGATGGTTTGGTTTGTATACAAACAGAAACTGCTTACAGAAACAATTGACCTGTTTATCTCCTTTCACTTCCTCAGGGTCTGGGGATATGGATGGGTTGCCAAAGGTATGTCGACATCAGATTTTCTATAAACGCTTCTTATTTGGGTATTTTTGTGATCTAAAGCTCTTTTTTTAGAATCTCTGCCTTCTGCACTTCAACTGTGTTGCCAATAAGAAACAATTTTTCAGTTTAACATTGATTTTTACCCTCTGTTTCTGCCTCTAGAGTTCTCCCAATAACATGGGGGGCATGAACAACCCTCCAGGGACGCCGAGAGATGACGGCGAAATGGGCGGCAACTTTTTGAACCCATTCCAAAGCGAAAGTGTGAGTAGAGCGAATGAATGACATCTCATGACCCCTTAACAGTTCTCCTTGACATCTTGACATGAACCAGTGGAAGAATGCAAGCAGAGGGTGCACCTGGTTTTTTAGAATTAATCTGACTGTTGAAAATGTTTTGGTAATATTTATGAAATTTGGTCCCACTTCAGTTTATTAATTTACTTTAGCTGAATTGGTTAGTCTAAACACATCTTAATACTGGAGCAGTAAGGTAGCAGTGTTGCTTTTCAATGGATCCCATAAAGAAAGTCTTGTGACACATGCAAGTGTTAAAAAGTAAAAGATTCATGACTAGCTTATGGCAAACCTGACCAAACCAGTGACCGTCAGACCACAACTAAATAGACACATATGGACGAGAAGAGGGTATCACTAACATGGGAGAAGCATGACATAGTAGGAATTAACAATCAGTCACAGACAAAAATAACAGCAGTTCACGCCAAAACTAATTTTAATACCATGACTCTGCTCACACGCAAAGGAGGCCTGTGGCCACACAACAGAGCCTGAAAAGACCCAGCTCAATTTCTAGTTCACGTTTTGGTAACAAGGAAGCAAGCAGACCTTTTGAAATAACTAGTTTTAGGCTTGTTTTTAGGTGCAGCTTTATTTCTTATTTAGTCTTTATACTTTTAAAGAGCTTCTTTTATGCTCCATATTTTCTTCTTAGATTTGAGTAGAGTAGCTTTGCATGTTTCACAAATCAGAATAATCCCAGTTTGTCTAAAACTGGGCTTTGTGCTTCATTTCACCTGCTGTCTGATACATGCTGTTTTAGCTCACTTCCCTCACACTTTAAGCCACCTTTCTTCTGATTGGCTGCCCCTCGCAAACAGTAGGTTTGTGTGTTCACAGCCCAAGCTGTTCAGTTATGATGACTATATCTAACTAATCATAGAGAGGCAAGAATTTTAAAAAATGTCTAAAGGTGAGTATTTAGAGCTTGGACTTGGACTGAACTTTTTCCTTAAAAAAAAAAAAAAAAGTTGTTCTTCCTCTTTAGGTTTAATTATATATTATGATATACTTTGTAATTTGGGACACAGCCAGATAAACCTGAAAAGCAAAACCTGCTACACTGAATAAGACTTTCAATGTCCAAAAAAGAGGGAAAAAAAGATGTGTAGAATATTTTTTTTTTAAATATATATATATATATATAGTGGATTAATAACTTGTGTTCTGCTTGCATTGTAGCCGCTTACTAATCACTTAAAAGCTCATACAGTTCCCTCTGTATCAGTGATGTGATTGCAGTTGATTGACATAAATGTTTGCTGCGCTTGAGTATATTATAAATACCTGGATTTATTTCATTTTAAAAATTTACTAAATGACTAGAAGTGGTAGTATCTGTAAGCCTTATGTTTGGCACAGAGCAGGTGGAGGGGGGTACTGCTCCTTGTATTGCATAAACAACTGTAATGCTCTCTTACCTTTGGCCTGAAGAGCCACGGGGTGCACAGACTAGAACTCGAGCCAAGCCTTAATCACTCGATTCAGCTAATCAGTAGCGGGGCTCGGTATCATCTGAGTTAAACAGCTGCTGGATAAATGATCATTAAAACTGCTAAATATCTGCTTGAAAGCTAGGATTCATTTCAGTCCATACAAATTATATATGTACCATTCCCAGCCCTTATTAGACATACAGCAGAAAGTTCTTATTGCCCGAGTCTCCTGAGTTAAAGCTTGGTTTCAACCATAGTCTGAGCTTCCTCTAGCTTTGCAGGGTGGGGTTTGAGCGCCCTCTGGTGTTTAAATGTTGTCAGTGACATATCCACTCATCTGTGCCCTCCTCCCCCTTCCCTCTCTCTCTTTTCAGTATTCACCCAACATGACGATGAGTGTGTGATTTTATTTTCCTTTTTTTTGTATTTTCATTTATTTCTTTGCCCCTCTTTATTTTTTGTAACCCTACACCTGATTCTTTTTTTTTTTCTTCAACTGAATCCTTACTTCACCTTGGACTGGATCACTTCCCTTCCTCCGCCCACACACACCCTCTGTCCCCTCCTCAAACGGGGACCCACTACTACCCAACCCACCACCCCGTTTTTGTTTTTTTAATTTTCCCCTCTTCTCACTCGGGAACTCTACGGCCACAGCCTTCTGGGACAGCCCTTGAGCATGCTGGGACTCTAATTAAGACGGGCCCTCCCGGCGCGTGTAAGCTGGCTGCGGGTGTGAATAGGAAGCAGTCACAGAGCAACAGGAAGAGCCTCCTCTCTGACTCCGGCCCCAGCCTCCCTGGCTTCCTGTCAGGGTCTAGACAATGAGCGAGGGAAGGAGGACAAATGGAGAGAAAGGGGGAGAAAGGAGACTTGAAACACAGCCCTCCCCCTAATGACACAGTGTCAGGTCTCTCAGCAGCTGCCTGGAAGCATCTCAACCACGACTTTGGATTTTTTGTTTTGTTTTTTTTAATCATCGTCTTTTGATTTGTTGCTGTTCCTGATGGGGTTATCGGTGGGTCGGGAAGAAACGACCTTCGTGCCCCCCACATTGTTCTCCTTGTGTGTACATTTGTAACAGAGGTGTTGTGATGATCAGTGAACAGGATTTTCCTTTTTTGTGTATGTATTGTATCATTGCTATTTTTATTATTGTTATTAATGATTATTGGTATGATCATTTTAAGATTAGGTTCTAATTTTCTGTTGTTTGTAAGGGCACATTTATTATGATGAAGACAGTATACGTGCACACAAATCGGTAATTATTTGCTGTGTAACATGAGGCTCCGTGTGAGCACACTGCCCCCTGCAGGTAAGATTTTATTCCTCACGGTACTAATTGGTTCTTTGTTTTCGTTCTTGTTTTGTTTTGTTTTTTGGGAGGTTGGCAACTTCCTTTTATAAGATCTAAAATTTTAACTTGTTGCTCAGTAACTCACACCCGAAGAAGAGTCTCCTAGGTTCCCTGCAGTAAAATGCACAGCTCTATTTATTTATGTACTTTTAATTTGTCTTATGAATCATTGTTCCTTTTTTTAAGTGTTATCCCTGGTTTTTTTTTATTATTATTATTATTTCTTTCTCAACTGCAGAACTAGTAGCAACTGTGTAAATATGCAGATCCACTCAGCAGCATCTCCTTATCTCCATCATTAGACCCCCCTCCATCCATCCCGAAAGGTGCTGACGTTATCACGAGTCCACAGTTTGACCACACTCACACCGCTCCCACTAATGCTTCCCACTGTTCACTCTGTCGTGTACATACGTAACATGTTAGTCTGTCTGCTGACCTGTAGTGAACACTTGGATCGTTTTCATTTGCCGATGAGGTCCCCCACACACTGTGATGTCCGTCTGCACTTTGCGGGCGCTTGCTTTCACACACCGCTCATTTTAGCTTGCAGGTGTTTTCGTTCAAATATGTGCTGTCCTTCCTCTTTTTTATGGTTGCTTGTGGTGAAATGGCTTCTGGCCATCTGCTGATCGGATCAACGGTGTTTTTTCTTTATTTTGGAGAACGGCAGGTTAGGAAGCAGCAATGGCATTGCTCTGTTGACTGTAGCGAGTGGCCTCCCTTCCATTTGCTTCCCTATTCTCACCTCTCTAATAGGCCAGCATTGACACACAGACACTCAGTCACACACCACCCCTCTGATTTTTTTTTTTTTTTTTTGGTACAACTCTCCATGTTTTAATTTTTTTTTTTTTGTAAATACTGTAAAATGCATTTTGATATCATTGACATGTTTTGATATTTCAAATCACAACTTTAACAGTTGATCAGAAACGAGCTGATTTGGGCAACTGTGTATTTGTTCAGAGAAGGCGTGTCTTTTACTCAGAAATAATATGAATGACGAGAGAAACAGAAACTGGAGCTGCTAAAGACTATTATGCTATTTCACCTCATCACAGATGAACGTGGGGCTTTTACTGTGCATCGGCGCTGTTGTGTCAAGGGGTCCAGCGGGACAAGGGAGGAAAAACCTTTTGTAGTCGAGCTAATTCACTGTCACACACATGTACCTGAAAAACTCAGCTTCAGATGAGATATAAGTCTTCTTCCTCTGCCTCTTTTATTGGAAATTTATTGGGGGGGGGGGGACAACCTACCTCTGTTTTTGACCATGAATTTGCAAAAACAGAGGTAAAGAGGACATTTTTATAATTAAACTTGTGGTCTCTTGACACAACTGAATCGCAAAGGAGGGGTACAAAGGACACTGGCTCTCAATCCAAAGCACCAGGGACCAGAGTTCATGCTTTACTATGAAGGAATTTTTTTAATCTATTTAAAAATGAGGCAAGAGAAATGTTTGGGAAAGTAAAAATGGGAAAAACAATAAAACCTGGGACAGATTTGTTGCTAAGAAGCGGTGGAGGTGGTGCAGGAAGAGGCGTTTTCCTCCCCTGTACTTTGAAATGCTGTTGTATAAAATGCAGTCCGACTTCTTTCTGTCCTGTAAGTAAAGCCGTCACAACGTTGATCATTTCTGTATTTCTATTGTGCTGATGTATAATACTGTAACATTCAGGGGTGGGGAGGGTTAAGAGAGGACTTTTGGGGGAGGGGGTGGGGAGTAAAGATTTTTTCTTTTTTGTTTGTTTTTTGTTTCTTTTCCTGTTCAGTTCCTCATTTTTCCTCTTGATGACAAAGCAGTATTGAATATGAGGCAGTCTGTCCTTGGGGAGTTGCTTTGTATCTCATGTTAGGGTAGTTTCAGATCCTAAATGTCTTGTGTAGTAAAATAAGAGGTTCCTTCGTATGTTTCTTTATATTGTAAAGTTTCTTTAGACGAAAAAAAATGTTGCTTATTGGAAAAAAGGTGGGAATCTGCATTGATAATGTATTTTTGTTTTGTTTTGTTTTAATTTTCATCAAGTTGTCAGTCGTTTTTTGCCTGTGTCCCCCTTGTTGTAGATACATATTAAAAATAAATAAAATGACTTCACTCCTTTTGCCATGAATATAAATTTTTGCCTCCAAGATAAATGCAAACGTTGATGAACAGGAGTCAGTTTTCAGCTTTCTAAATATTTGTTTCATACAGTTTATATCTCCATTGTGTTCAATATAGAATCAACAAGAGGGCTGCAGCCAGGGATTAATTTATAATTCATTATTTACACAGTTTTGCAGAAATTAAAAGCAGAAACCTTAAGTTACTTAATTCTAAGAACAATCCACTTTCCCATTGTTAGTGTGTTTGAGTTATTTGTTGATTGACTATTCAATTTCTTATCATATCAGCCTTTTTTTTTCCATTGCATTTCTTTATGTTCCGCTGGTTCACGTTCGACTTCTGTGACAAAACACTAGTGTTTTAACCCAGATATTTGTGAATGGTTTCCACAGCTAGCTTTGAGTTGATTGCTTGCTTATGTTGAATTAGAATTCAAGCAAGTATCCTCTAAAGTTAAATTAGTTAATAAACCGTACTCCATCTCAGAATCACAAGTCTGAGTATACAGTAAGCTCTGTAAGCTTTTGGGCAGCAGTACAATTTTTTTTTTCTCCTAACTTGCCTCTGAACACCACCACAGTGTTAAATCAAACAATCAAAATGCGACTCAACTGCTGTTTTTCAGCTTTGAGTCATGGGGTCTAACAAAAGTGTTTCATTAATTGTTTAGGGATTTTTCAGAGGCTGTATCTGTATCTAATTCAAAGTTTTGAGGGGAGATGAAGCCTGTCCCAGCTGTCATACACCCTGGACAGTTTGTTAAAGGCCTAACACAGAGACCAACAGCCATTCATGCTAACATTCACACCTACAACATACATTTAGAGTCACCACTAGACCTAACATGCATATCTGGATTGTGGGGTGGAAGCTGGAGTATCTGAAGAAAATTAAAGCACTTAAAACTTATGTCTTATTGGGTTACGATCAGGTAGCTGACATGGCGATTAAAGAATATCCCATTTTCTTTCATTATCCAAGTGTTGTAGCCCTGCACACTTCAGAATTTATCCTGTGACTTCTATCAAAAGCCACACCATCAATAAAAACTCCTTGTTCCACTGGCAGACATGTGTCTATACCATTGCCTTGACCATGTTTGATGCATTAAGATAGATCGTAAGTATTTCCTTTTCTTATCATCATGCAGTATGCTTCAAATCCTCTGTTCTGTTCCTTCTCCAAACTTTTCTCTTCCCATGATTATACAGTAGAGCCTAAAACTAGTCCAAGTACTGGCGAACCTAACTTGTAAAAATGACGCTGGGACCATTATCCTTCAAATACAATATGGTCTCACATGTCTAAATAGTTCATCCGTGTTCCTCCTTTTAGCTGTTCAAGCTGCACCGAGTGACGACGCAGTGACCTCCTGTTTCTCTCATTGTAGCAGGAGGCAGAAGGAGGAACCAGCGAGGTGACGGAGGAAGCTGAGGGCAGTGGAGGGAGTAGAGCTGGCCTCACTGATGCTCTAGAGGGAGGAGAGGAGCTGGGTGGGTGAGGCAGAAACACCATGGTTCTGCTTTTGGCTGGTGAAACCTGGGTTGGAACCTGGAGGTGAGATGTGGATTGGCTTCCCAAAGGAGGGAGGTGAAGCAGAGGAGGGTCGACTGTGACAGAGGGGAGGGTATTCCTGCGGAGCTGGGAGTGAGGGGGCAGGCAGGTGGGGAGCTTTTTGTCTGAGAGTGACCCTGCAGGAGTGACACATCGTTTGAGGACCACGCTGCCGGGCGTTGCATGAGTAGAGCTCATCTCAGTGAGCGAGACGACTAAATGAGAAGCCTTCAAAGAGAAATCCTCATGGCTGCGGCTGTAATTCTCTCCTCCATATCCGTTATCTCTCCTTAGAACCTTGCCTCTTCTGCTCTCTTCCACTCTGGACTGATCAAAATGGGACTCCTTTTCTTCTTCCTCCTTTTCCTCACCCTTACTCCTTCCTCTCTCCCCTCTCAAATCCTCTCTGTCTCTCTCCTCCTGTGGGCTCTTCTCCCTCCTGCCCTCCTCATAAGCTCTGTTCAGACTGGCCAGGTTGTGAATCACTAGCCAGGGTTCAGATGATATTCTCTGTCTGAGAGGGGGAGAGCTGCACCGGCTCAGTGGTTCACAGGAGGGACGTCTGCTGCTAATGCTGCTGCTACTTCCTCGTTGGCCTGGTGGAAGACAAGAAGTCAGTTTTAGGGGTTAAAATCATAGATGTAGAAGCTGTTGAGAAGAGGCATCCTTTCTCTGTTGCTGTACTGTTTCTTCATATTTGTCATAAAGCTGTCTCCCTGTTGGATACATACAAGGCTTTTAATCTACCAATATAGTGTCTTAAAAAAGGTGAACATCTATGATAAAAGTCACTGATAATGTCTTGTTTAGAAGATATAAGCTGCAGCAGTCATCACATTGTGAGACGATATCTCTGTCCCTGTGATTTACATCTGCCCACTTTGAACACCTCTCACAGTGCCACGCAGGAAGCCATGGCAATCCATCCTATTTCAGTCCAGAATAAAGCGAGGCAAAGCTTAGCGTGTGATATAAATTCTAAAAATATACAGCCAGGTTTTCCCCAGTTCATCACTTACCCTCACATGACACATCTTTCCCATGACAACCATCTGTCTTTATTCACTCTGCTTCTATGGTACAAATCGAGTTCATAGTCGGGACCTGTAGCTTCCTTCATTACAAGCTTCACTCACCCTGGCAACACATGTTCATTTTCTCTCCTCGGGAATGAGCGTGCAGCTAATGATTTCAACCACAAGGCATTTATTCTCATCTGTCTAGACTTGTTTTTGTTCAGTGCTGATCTGCTATTATCCAGGAGAGGCAAGTGTCTGCATATAGAGATTGCAGTATTGATCTCCTGTTTTAAGGTGGTATAGCCAGACAACTCTGATAATATTATTCAGAGCCGGTTAGGGAATCCGTTATGCTGTGGGGGAGTGTTTTGTTGACATGGATCGGGTCCGCTAATCCTTTAAAGAGAAGCGTCTTTGAAAATCAGAACTCATCCTGTGATGAAATGTTTCTGTTCAGATGGAAAAATGCCGTGAGGGCTGCAGTAGCAGTTCTGACTGGTTTGGTGTGGTCAGAAGTGCAGCTTTGTTGGAACTTTAACTAAAACCAACAGTCGTGTCAGTGTCTTTAAATACAGTTGTGGTCAGAAGTTTACATGGAGTCATCAGGGGCATGACTGTCAAGATCATTTTTGGCTTTTAATGATTTCCTTTGAATTCTGCTTTTTCCAGGGTGGAATGATTATACAGCAGACCAGACATCTTTATTGACTTTAAAAAACAAGAATTGGATGCATAAGTTTTTTTCAAGTATACAAGGAATTCACTGAAGATCTAAGAAATAGAACTGAAGATTCAAACAAACTGGTAATGTCTCTCTGAGCCATTTCTAAACAACTGCATATTCCAATATCATCAGTTCAAACGGTTGTATGTAAGTACAAGTTATTCAGATATGTCTGAATAACTTGGGTATTAGAGAAAGTCCAAAATAAATTCAAATGTATGCACCCAGTTCTTTTTATTTAAGACATTTCAGTGTACAGCCTGCTGGTGTGGGATACACCATAATTCAATTAAACCAAGGCATTTTCCTTTAAACAAAGCTCATTACTCACTTGTTGCTCTGAAGTTGAAGATGTTTTCGCCCTCGGGTGAGTTTGGCGAGCCTGTCTTCAGGACGATGTCAGATGGGGACATGCAGGACACCGGTGAGGTGTTTGGGGATGGGAGAACATTCAGATAGCGTCTGGTCACAGGGCCTCCATGCACACCCACCTCTGTGGCAATGATGATGATGTCACGACCTCTGACCTGACACGCATCCATCAATACCTGAAGTACAAGAATGCTGGTAAAGTAACTTTACAGGTCTTGTGGAGGTGTTGAAATCTCCTTCTTTTGGAGTTCTATTACATCCTGGTAGTTTTAATGATAATCATTTAAAATGAACCAAATGATATCAATTAATTGAAATGAACTCCATCTTAGGATGGTATAGGGTTAAAACTCTAACTTATAAACAATGCAAAACCTCATAATATCCTCTTCCATCCTTTAAATGTATTGATTCACACTTTATTTCATTTTTTTCTTTGCTCCTTACTAACCTTCAGAGTAGGCTGATGCTGCGCGTTGATGGCGTAGACCAAAGCTGAGGCTCCAGAGTAATCCTCCATGCTTGGGTCGGCTCCTGCAGCAAGGAGTGTGGCTGCGACCTGAGCTCCCGCACGCTCCATACAGGCGTACATCAGCGCAGTACGCCCCGCCTGGTCTTGTGCATTAGGATCTGCCTGATCGGTGCAAAAGATCCAATTGAGTGATTAATTCAGTGATAAATGGTTATCCCAGAAGGGACATGGTCTGGTGTTAGGAGTCACTCGGAAAGCTCAAGTGTATATTTTATAGAAACCAAATTTAGCAGAACTCTGTGCAATTTGGCTAATGCTCTCTTAATTACAACTGATCTAGCACTGTTGCTTTTGTGTTGTGGCTCTCAACTGTGACTCACAGTGTGTTATATTCTGTTCTCTGGTGCCAGCATGTTCAGGAACACCCTTTTAGTTGGATGGGGTACACAAGCAGAGCTGGATAGATCACAAGCCTGTTTACTATGCATTAAAAGTTCTCCCCTCTTAGAGCAAGTACAGTTTTGTATGCATTAAAAATACACCTAAGTCAATAAACTGCTGAACTTGTATGCACATGTTTACATTCAAGTGTCTGTATTTAATGGTGACTATTTGTCACTGCGGACTGACCTTGTTCTGGAGGAGGTATGTGAGGAGCTTAATTGTCTCAGGCCCAGCAGGCTCCCCTCTCAGGGCCTTGCAGGCAGCCAGCAGAGCTGTCTCTCCTTTAGGGTTGCGCCCATTTACCTCTGCTCCACCGTCTACCAGCAGACGGACCAGACGGAGCTTCCCAGAGGATGCTGCACTGATGAGCGGGCTACAGTCTGACA